ACAGTCTTTATTTCACCAGGCGGCATTGCATTGTGATGCATTTCCTGCACAATCTCTCTACCACATCCTGTCTGTCTACACATGTGACTTGTATCTGCACTCTCTCACAACCATGCTCACGCTCTGTGATCACTCCAAGATGCCACATACATCAAGCCATTCAACTTCCTTAGCAACATGCCCCAATATACACTTATGGATTGCTACAATAGGCTATTCTTTTGCACATACTGACAGCAAAGAGATTTTAGGATTGTTGCTGTGTCTCTATTAATCCCCCCAGCCCCCTGCTGTGTATATATACACACCTCTTGTTAATTGGGTTGATTACTGATTGTGCTCCTCTCATGTTAATTAGGTTAATTATCTGAACGTGCTCCTTCCGAACTTTGTTAATAAAACATCATTTAGTGGATTGGAAGGACGTTGTTGCACAAAAATCTGCAGCCTACACCCTTAGGACACAGACCCGACCAAGAAGCTCTAAAAGAGCCTTCAACAAGACACCCATACCTCATTCACTTCCTGTCATAACGGACACTAAACTAACATCTCACACTGATCAAGAGTCAGTTTCGCCTCACACATTTAAGCTTGACTCTCATAAGATGAGTTTGAAAAGGCTAGCAGAAGCACCAAGATCTGTTGCAGACAGTGAAAAAGTAACCAGTTAAATTAAAACTCACAAAAGTGAAAATAAAAGTTGCTAAGACAACAAAATAGTAACAGCAAAACATGGCTGCATACATAGTGATGTTGGCAAACAGGTTTTGTTCCATTTCTTATTTTGAATAGCAGCTTTATGCTTTAAATATCAGGGCCAATAGCTGTGTTCTTTTTTTAAATTAGTCTGTCAACAGCAAAACCTTCCTAATTTACGTAAAGTCTATATATTATGTGGTTTAAGTTCAAACTATTTAACAATACTCCAGTGACATATGTAAGTTAGTTTCACCAGAATAATATAATGCATAGAGGAAGCTCGACTCATTCCGGCCTCTTCTTCTTCCTCAAGTTATTATATAACAGACTCTAATGAAAAGCATGCACATAGACACAGACTGTTTTGTGTGAGGCTTGGAAACACAGAATTAAGGATGCAGTCAGAGCTCAGAAAATATAGCACTGGCGCAGTCTCTCGAGTTTTGCATGTCAGTTGTAACGTCTGGGGACAAAAGCCGTTGTGCATGAACTGAACTAATTTTCTCCAAAACGTTCTCCTTGTTAAGTCAAATATATTTTGTTTTTGCTGTCGGTGCAGGCCTAAGCCAAGATGACATTTGACACTGTTTACTGACTCCGTTTCCCATGTTAGCAACCACACACTCTGCAAACACCGCTCTGTAGTGTAAAATAGATTTTCTGAAGATATGTGGCCTCATTTATTAATGACATATAAATTGCCTATTTATCCTCCTGAGACCCTGTGACCTCATATGAGGACATTATATTTTGGTGTATTTCTCTGAGACTATACATGCCACAGTTTTAAGTCTGGATGTCATGTACAGAGCACATTCAGGGCTTTTCAGAGATACTAAATGTTTGGATATTTCACTATGACCACTCCCTCTCCTACCGAGGACATAGCATAACTTATGAATGAAATATCATTTTTTTACAAATTTTTTTTTATGCTCTAAACAATGTAAAGACATGAAAAAAACAAATTTTTTCCTAAAAATCTTTTCTCGGGTCTTAAGAGGTTAAGTGCACAGACTTATGTTTTTGTGCAAAATTTCCACCGGAATCACAACAGGTGCCTACACACACACATTTGTTCCTGCCCTCGTCCAATGTTGATGGTGAACTCTAAATGAAGGGGCGCGTGCCTGCATAGTGATTTACATAGAACACGCCCAAACATCTCCATATAAGGGCTTTCCGCACAACTTATTCGGTCTCTCTCAGGCTTGTTTTCGTTACAGTTAAATTAAGTTGATTTCTAAATGTAATTTGAATAAAGGATAATTTTAAACCCGAATCTGAATTATAAAAACGTTCGCACACAAATTTTACGCAAAAATACGTGTTACGCCCGATAAATTCCCACGCAGAACTCACTTATGTTTCCATCTTATGCGCAAAATTGCAATATCGCATAAAACGATGCGAATAAAGCACCATTTCCATCCAGTGAGTTGAAGAGAACAAAATCGTCACTTCCTAATTAACTTGCGCTAAATATCACAAAGAAAAAATGTATTTGCTTCAGCAGGAGAAGGCACTGTAGCTAATAAATGTGTATACAATAAAATACGCGCTTCGGAGCGCGCAGACGAAGCGCCGTCATGTTATCTTATTCTCGGAGTCCGCTGTTTGAACGCAGTTCTAGGTGTTAATTACAACAAAGCACTTTGATGAAACTTTGCTCAAGCATGTTAGAATGACAAAACTAGCATTTCAGATGCCGTGCAATGAGATCGGTCCGTTGGTTGGCCCAGGAATGCTGTCCCATCGCAAAATCACGTCTTTTTTGATGCGCATTAAAGGGGTCATATGATGCTGCTAAAAATAGCATTATTTTGTGTATTTGGTGTAATGAAATGTGTTTATGCGGTTTAAAGTAAAAAAAACACATTATTTTCCACATACTGTACATTATTGTTTCTCCTCTATGCCCCGCCTTCTGAAACGCGTCGATTTTTACAAAGCTCATCGGTCTGAAAAAGCGAGGTGTGCTCTGATTGGCCAGCTATCCAATGCATTGTGATTGGCCGAATACCTCAAGCATGAGACGGAAATGTTACGCCCCTCACAAATGAAATCGCATCATATGACCCCTTTAAGGAATTTATTCGGTAAAAGTGTTTCCACTTTATGCGCATGTTTTCTTATCCGATAAGAAATTTATCCTAGTTAGTTAAGCGCATAAGTTTTTTATGCGCATTTTTTTTATTTTTTTTAGAATTTATGCTCATCTTGGCGTTAACATCCAGCGTCTTTTTATGCGATAACCCAAAATGCGCATAAAAATAGGTGAATGGAAACATAGCGCGGTGGTTGGTTCAGCATTGCTTAAAGTATGTGGTTGCTAAAGTGCTATAAATGGTTTTTAGCATGTTCTTTTGCGTCTGTTTAGCGGTTGCTTAGCGGCCTAAGAAAAGGAGTCGCCTCTCAAGTCTTTGACATATTGATATTCTGTCTAACAGAAATGCTTCATGTTGCTTCTTTGATGCAAATACTCCATGCTAGTGATTTAAAATATCTACTAGGCCAAAGTGAATTCGAAGTATCAGTCCTTTTTTAGAAATCAATCAAGCAATTACATGCTAAGTTTAACACTTAGAGATAGTGATGTAGTTTAAACCACAGTAAACTTACACATGAGCACAACTGCAAAAATTTCACAGGCTAAAAAAAGTCTATAACATTTTCACCCTCACACAAAACTCCCAATCACCTGTGAAATTTTGCCTAACAGTAAATGTGACTGCACCTTAAGAGCAATAATTATACCCTTACGAAAATTAACCACGGTTTTACTACAAATAAAACCAAGAAACCATGGTTACTATAGTTAAACTATGGCAACCACAAATTAACCACGGTTTTGCTACACTAACCATAGTTTAACCATGGTATTTGTGGTAAAACTGTGGCTATACAAATGGTAATCAATACACCAAAAAACCATGGTTACTACACTTTTACTATAATAAAACCATGGTTAATTTTTGTAAGGGTAGTAATGCTTACTTTAGCAAACATCATTAATAAGATATAAATATGCATATTAACAAACTTGAGTGCCCCATCTCTACCAAGCTCCCATCTCTCCTGCCGTGCTAATTGCACACAACCACTGTCAGCCCATTGTTTTGCCCAAGCATTAAAAGGCCCATTCATGGCTTTGCTTTGGGTCCCCTTGTCTCCTAACTAATTATGCATTCAGACTTTTTTTTTTTTTTCAAACTATGGTCATGGCATGAAATGACTTCAGCCTTCGAAATCTGCTTCAAAACCCAATTACGTCTTCAGCTGACAAGTTACCCACACACCCATCTCCATAACCAAAGACAAAACAATAGCTAATCAAGACACAGGCAACTATGCAGTACTGACACCAGCGACCATCCAAAGAGGTTCTGACGTAACGGGCACCGGCTGTGAAGGCAGACAAAAGGGAAACGACGTAAAGAGGGCAAGAGAAAATAGAAGGGGGAGAATTTCGTGACCTGGAAGGTCAGGCTGTACACTGGGGTGAGGATGCGGTTTGTGTCTTGTCAAAGCACCATGGGGGGATGTGTTTGTGTGTGCAGGCAGAGGGCAAGGGTTCAGCTCTGACCTAAAAGAAGAGAATCGAAGCTTGTGGCCTGGAATCCTGGGGTCACTCTTTAGATGCACATTCTGATGCATATTCCTAACAGCAATCCACACATTCCCTATAATGAATTCGTTTGACATCACTGAAGGTCTCTCAGAGTCCAGCATCAGCGGAATGCAACCAATCCCTTCATACTACAATACACACAGTCGCTGCCCCATAGGACGATGTTGTTTTTGAGGTTAGGAAAGCACATTAGGGTGTAGTCTTTTGTATGAGCTGCCGGTATCGTAAGTGCAAAGAAAAATATTTTGGAAAGAAATCAAAGACATCTGCGCAATAAGAGCACTTGTGCTCAAATGGCAGGGAGTTTAGTGTGAAGTGGACTTCAGGGAAAATAACCTGAGCATATGTATTCAACATAGAAAAGGGCAAAAAACGTACTAGAGAAATTATGAGGGGAAAATACCATCCTTTTATTTTCAATCTACATTTTCACAATTTAAAAAAAAAGTTCTTTACACATACATGCCAAAAAGGCACTTATTAAATATCCTTCAGGACCAAAGTATTTTCAGATATGATCTTCAATTATGATCAAATAATAAAAAAAAAAAATCCTTCATTTTGTACATCTTCAATTTAAAAAAAAATTACAAAACGGAAAAAACAAAACACAGAAAATAAACATTAAATAAATAACTTAAACATGAACAAAATGTACAAACATTTGCTTCTTGATTTAGGTGCAAAATGTGCACCAGGAAATAAAGTTAGACAATGTTAACAAACTAGTTAAAGGAGTTGACAAAGTGAATAAGACACACTGGTCCACATTTTTGGGTCTTGTTAAATGTTATATTATTTGTTACAGAATTTTAAACAATATTCCAGCGACAAACAGACATCCACATCTACTTTCGGCATTTTAGACTAATCTGAATACTTCAAGTCTAAAACTAATATTTAAGTTGCCCAACCAATCTTTAGCTAATGTTTTGTATTCAGATGCTTTTGGCACACTTAAAATTATGACCAACTTGACCAAACAGGCTCTCAGTTTTTCTCAGAAAACAAGATGAAAACACCGTTTTATCATCACTGGATTCTTTGGTTTATCTTGGCGTCCACTTTTGGTCTTCAGTTTCCTTTTCGCTCATTTTAAACATTTAGTCTTTGGCTAAGGGAGTCTTTGAATTCTCAGTTCGCTTTTGTTTCTCACAGTTTGCTTTCCTCCTCTTCCAGGGGTCGGTTTAGTCCGGGAATGAACTTCAACAGCCTCCGCCTGAAGCTCTTCTGTTTGGGTTTGCGCTGCAGTGTGCTGAACCCTCCGCACTGCTGTTTCTCTCCGTTAGGCACCGAGGATGACGACGGCGGGCCCCTCAGGTAACTGCGTGTGCTGGCGCTGCGGGTCAAGGTGGTCTTGGCAGTAACGAAGAGCTCGCTGGCGGGTCGGATGAGGCGTGGACGGCCGCTTTGAGTCTTCTCTTGGTTTGAGTCGAGCTCGTCGTTGCTGGCGTTGTTGGAACGCTCCCCCTGGAAGATGCAGGTTTGGTAGAGTGGGTCATCCTCAGTTGTGGCGGCACTAAGATGGCTGATGCTGCTGCTCGTGCTCCCGGTGCCACATAACGCGCGCATGGCCGCGGGGCTCGGAGCTCCCAGACTACCGTATAAACCGGCTGACTCCAGAGACTCATACACAGCCACATCACTCATGACGATGCCTGTGAGATTGAAAACAGAGAGCTAAATTAACCTCTGGAAAGGTTTTAAAGTGCCCCTATTACTGATTTTTGAAAACGACCCTTCATGCAGGGTGTAACACAGCTCTAAGTGAATGAAAACATCCTGCAAAGTTATCTGAAAGTGCACAGTGTATAAAGTTATTGTCTCTCAAAAGAAAGAGTCGACTGTGAATCAGTGAAACGAGTCGTTTTTAAAACTAATCCCAAGCCATCAACATGAAATATTAGCATATTTCCCACCCACTTGTTGGTCTTTTCGAGTTGGTCTGAATGAAAATGCAAATTCATTCTTTGCCACTAGGTGCTGCTTTTGGAGCTGTAAAAATAGCGGTTTCCCCGGTAACGCTGTACACAAAGAAGCACTGCGCTCACAAACGCTGCTTTATCAGACATTACAGGCATGATGAAATGGAAATGAATTTGACCAATCGGACCAATCACCGCAGATTAGCATCACGCAAAGGAGGGGTTTGTAAAAATGAATCGTTGAGTGAATCGTTTGGGAGTCGTTGACGTTGAGCAAGTAAGGTAAAAATAAATGCATATTATAAGACAATGAAAATGTTTTTTGACCTTGCATGCATGTCAACCTGTTGTTGGGGACACCCAAAACATGAACCTTTCATAACCCATAATAGGGGCACTTTAAAGAAAAATTACTCCCAGTTTTAAAATAAGTCTTTAAGGGATCCTGCAGGCTAGTAAAGTATTACCGTATTGGTCCGAATATAAGACAACCCTGATTATAAGACGACCCCCCTTTTTCCAGATGTACCTTTTGGAAAAAGGCTTTTTAAAAACCAAATCTTGTTTTTTCTCAGAATTGAAGACATTTTGTCTTCAATTATTTTCATATTGCATATTTTTCCTATTTTAATTTTTATTTGGAAAGTATGGTAAAAACTAGTCAAATGTACCAACAATCACATTTAAAAAATATATACTTTTTGATATACCATTAAAAAAAAAAAAACAGGTAGCCCATCTGAATTAGGACATTTAGGCTATCCATCTAATAGTAGCCTACCAAAATCTTATTAACAGTAGAAGTTAAATCTTACTGTAGTCTTCAAATCTGGGTACTGTCTTACGTTTTAAAATCACAAAGGGAGTTTGGTCCCATCAGGCTAACGTGACAGTCACGACTCATGCAGCTGTAAGCTTTTCTTTTTCTTTTGTTTTTACTCGCGATCTTTACAACACGCATTACATTCCACAGTCTATGATTACATTATGTATATCATGGCACACTCGTTTTATGCGTATTTGGCACCACCTATTGTTGTGGGTGTATTATTGACATATCAAAGTCTAGACCCTGAATATAAGACAACCGCGTTTTTTCAGATGTATTTCCAAGAAAAAAACATCGTCTTATATTCGGGTCAATACGGTATGTTGGTATGCTAAGGCATTTAGTTTGAGCTTAACTCACACTGGAAAAAACTAGCATGTGCTTCTAAATATGTTTTTCTTTATTTACCACACTCTCCAAGTCATCGATCACAACATTGTGCTAACAGGAAGTGTTTTGTGTGATACAAATACATACAGAAGTGTGCAAATGTCAGGCTGCCAACCTTTATACGTTATTGAAACAAGCTCCTTCAAAGGCCTGGTGTAGTAAAGATCGCTATCATGTGCTAAAATCTCACCATGCACAAGCCGCTGCTCCTGCACCATTAGAGATCTGTATTCATCCCATTTCTCATGCAAGGTTTGCTGGAGAGACAAAAAGACACAGTAAGAGTCATTTCACGTGTCATTCTACTAGTCTGTTCATTTACTTTTTCCCATCATCATCATCATCATAATAGAGAACAGGGAAGTGTGTGGTCAGTGAGGTCAGACAGTTCTCAAGTTCTCTATTGCTACTTCTCGCATCAACAAACCATCAAATTTGAACTCATTGCAGAGTTCTTTGTTGTGTGGGTCCATTTTTTAATCAATTATTTTCACCAAATATGATGAAAAGAACAAAAAGTTGCTTTGTCATGAAACTAATAAACTTAATTTTTGTATTTATTCTGGTATCTTCTGTTTTTATCTATTTTACTGAATCTCATAATAAAAAGGGATGCACCTATTTTACAATAAACAGATAGCAAAGAGCAGATTATTATTTTTTTATGTTATGGCAGACAACTGTTAAATTGAAAATATTAAAATGTTATACTATTTCATCTAAATAAATGAAAAATAAAACATTAAACTAAAATAAATTGTTTTAAATTCTAAAATCAAGTTTAGGCATCACAACATTATAATGTACATTATGAAAAATGGATATTAATTTTAAGGTTTGCAAAAAAAATTAATTTAGCATTGTTATTAAATTATTAGTGTTTTTAAATATGTGACCCTGGACCACAAAACCAGTCACAAGCAGCACGGGTATATTTGTAGCAATAGCCAACAACAAGCCTTTGTGCCAAAACGTATCTCTCAAATACCACAGAAGTGACAACCAAAATGAAACCGTATTATAGTTGTATTTAAACTTTATGGCCTAGGCATCTTCTTTCACATATGAGAATGTCATAAGGAATGTAAAAATGTGCCTCGCTTCGTGTCGGACAGCGCTATGTCAGCTGTACTGTGGTATGTGAGGATTAAGACTGGCCTGTCACTGGAACAGGTGGGTTTGTGAGAGGAAACAGGTGTGGTCGGCGCTAGTGCTCGGTGCCAGACCGGGGCAGCGGTGTAAAAGCTGGGCTTACATTACAACGCTTGTAAACGTCTCCGTATACGAGAGGACACGCTGCTTGATTCGAGCATGTCGGTGTACATGTGGTCCGAGAGACTTACCTTTAGATACTGCAGTCGGGCTTCCAATTCTGCTTTTCGTATTGAGTCACTATAGACGGTTTCTAGCCTAGACACAGGAACAAAACACAGCATTGCATGACAAAGTCACTTCCTATATTGTGCGGTATTACACTTCAAAGCCTCAATCTATTAAACACAAAGTCAAAGAGCTCTTTAAAACAGACTTAAGACCACAACGTGTCTGAATATGAGCTTAGTGGTAATACAAAACTCCCCAGCCCCCAAATGTATATCATTTCAGGACCGGCATTGGTGATATGGATATGAAGCGGGAACCTCTTTTTAATGGGCTGCTGTAAACTTTCTCATTTACAGCATAACCCCATGCTTAAAAGTGGAAATAACTGGGTTAAAAGCCGTGGAGAGGGAAGGCATGAACTTCTTTGCATTCATGTGGTTCACATCACTGTTCTCCACACTTTATAAATGGAGGTTCATTTTCACTGGCCTTTTATCTTTTATTAAACAGGAAATAAAAGGGGGAAGGAGAGTGTGGTTCCAATCAAGTAATAGCAGATCTAATTTTTCATGCTAATCAAAAAAGACCACAGGTACACTTGGAACAATTTAGTTTTAATTGAAACTTTTAAAGCTTATATTCTACTTTGGAGGAAAGAGTAACAATTTCGCTTATTTAGATCTACATACCTAATGCTGTTGCCTGATGATTTAATGAGCTGGACGATTTCTTTATGGCGAAAGCCTTCCACAGAAGTGTCATTCACGCTGGCAATCGTGTCTCCTACAAATCCAAGAAAAACAGTGTTAAACTGAGAATAGATCTGATTGGACATTGTAACAAGTAACATTGTGTACATTTTTGTGTTTGGCCTTAAATGGACAGTTCAACCTAAACCTGTATTTTGAAACCTGACCCATTTTCTTCCAAGGAACACAAAAGGAAACACTTATTGTGAGATCCCATTTCCACACAATGAAAGTGAACGGTGACCATGACTGATACGCAAGAGTTCACAGGAAACATTTTCAGTGATCACATTCAATTTCACTCTGTTCCCCACAAAAACCTATTAAACGGCTTCTGAACATTTGAAATATAATGCCCAAATTGCATTGACTACTTTTATGGTGCTTTTGACCTTTTTTGAGCTTGGCATGCACCATCCACTTTCATTGTATGGAAAAGCGCAGCGTGAACACTCTGCTAAACATTTCTGTTTCTGTTCCACTGAAGACAAGTTATACAGGTTTAACCATGAAGGAACATAAAAGGTCATGTAATAACTTTTTTTTCTCCATTACAAAACTCAACTTGGAGGATTTGGGAAGACATTTCACTAAAGTGTTTTGGGACACATCTGCTGGAGAGGGGCTGGATTGCGTACATCAATATGTAATGAAATAATTCCTTTTCTCCTTGGAGAGATTTGGATTTTCTTGTCTAAGAACGATGAGATCATGTGCTTTTGAGAGATAGGCCAAAGACGACAACAGCGCAAAGCATGCAGGGAATGCAGGAAGCGAAACCAACACACACGCACAGCAACTCCGAGTAGGAGTTCCTCTTTACCTCTGATCTGACATCAGTTTATCTAGGAGTTGTAATTGTTATATTTTGGATTTTGGGGAAGATCAACTGATCTCAGAACAGAGAAACAGGTATTTTAGATGCAGAACTGTTTATTCTTTGAAAATTATAGAAAAGAATGCAGATTCTGCATATAAAATATCTGGCAAGTGGTAACAATTCATATAAGCCTGAATAGGGCATTATAGGACAATGACACAGATGTATTTTTAGAAAAGTATTTGTTCTACTTGTCAACTTGTTCTCTAAACTCTAAATACAGTTGCTAACAAGTTTCTACAAGGACTAAAACTACTACAAAATGCAAATTCAAAATTTGTGGTCAGTAAGTTTTGTTTTTGAAAGAAAATAATACTTTTGAGCAAAGATGTATTAAATTGAACAAATTGTAAAAAAAAAAAGAAAAAAAAGAAAAGAAAAAACAGGAAGTTACATTTTAAAATATATTAAAACAGAAAAGAGATATTTTAAAATTTAATATTTTATAACAATGTTTTTACTGTATTTTTGATCAAATAATAGCAGCCTTGGTGAGCATAAGAAACTTCTTTAAAAAAAAAAAAGTTTTTTTTTTTTTTTTTTTTTTTACACTTTTAGAGATTCACAAGGGAACCCATGGCTCAATTATCTTCTAGATTTTTAATGCTTAAAATTTAACAACTCCTCTTCATTTATACCAAGTAAAAGATTTATGTCAAGTACAGTAAGAACCTGCTAAAACAAAAAGGAAACATTGTTCAGAAAAAAAAAAAAAAAACGACCCACAAAAAAAAAAGCCACAGAGTGACTAGACAGTATCCGGTTTTACAGTTTGAAAGAGTAAAAATCCATGTACAGTCTACGTGGGTGCTGCTCGGTGATATTTGCTCTTGCTTAAATAGCAGGGCTGCCACTCAACTGTCATGGGGTTGACAGATTGATGAGATCTTCAAGAGAGAAAGCAAGCCTTCTGAAATATTACTCCTATTCACACAGACTAATTTTACAACAAAACAGGATATTCAAGAGCTAGATGAAGGAAACGGATCTTTATGCTTTAAAACACAGTAACACACTCCTTGTGACCCCAAGGACCACTCTGTTCTAGCCTCTGTGTCAAATGCTGGTTTAGAGCAGGAGCAAACAAAGGGTGGTGTTAATGTGAGCACACTTACCGACTTTAAGGCCTGCAAGTTGGGCAGGACTGTCTTCGTGGACTTTGCAAACAAAGGTGCACATCTCCACTGAGTTCTCACTCTGGTGATGCAGCCCATATGTCTGTAGACACACACAACAAAATAAAAAATAAAAAAACGGACTGTAAACAAAGATGTCTCGTCTGCAGAGGGTAACGTTATTTATAGATCTGCAATCAGATTATACTAAAGTAAACAAAACGAGTCATACGCTCGCAAGGTGTGCTCTTGTTCTTGTTCGACGTAGCATTGCTAAATCAGGTCTGATTGGGTTTCCACAGTGGATTAACACCATACTGTGCTCAATGACGAGAATGTTGACCTGCGCGGCTTCACAAAGACTGACTGACAGACTCAATGGCTTGAAGGATGCTGAACGTGAGGGATGGCTCCAGGTGGTTGACTCGCATGCAAACATCTTTGATAAACAAGCCACACCGAAACTGGGCCATTTTTGTTGTCGTTTCAACGTTTGAACTGTAAATGCAGTTCATCACTAAACCACACCAAGCCATCTGGCTGAGGCTTACAAAAATGTGTGACTATTCAGCAGTTTACATTTCAGCACCATGAGAGTTAGCAAAAGATACAGCCAGTTTACTTGGTGTCAAAACCAGTTTTACTTCTGTAATGTGGCGATTTCCAAATAAAAAATATTCAATTATTCAATTCAGTCAAAATATTATGTTTTTCAGAAGTGAAGAAAGTTACATTTACTTTGAATATATTATTTTATATAAGTTGGTCGGATGGATATCATATCAGTGACTCTACATAGGACAAGCAGTTTGCAAAATGGATAGATAATAATGTAATATAGTATATTATAGCGTTGAATGAGGAGTAATATAATATAATGAAAATTAAAACAAAATATCAGCTACTCTATACAAGCAGTTTGCAATATGGATGGATAATATAAAATTTTAATAGTCAATTAGGTAAAAGAAAATAAGTAATTTTAATAGTAGAAATAAAAGGTAAGTCACACCAGTAAAATCCTGTGCCTCTCCATTTTACAATAAAACAACTTAGGTCAGCTGAAGGACTAGCAACTGGATCTGTGTAAACTGTTATGGATAGAAAGAGGCTAGAACAAATCATAGTGGTGTGAGATATTTCAGAGAATGAATTCTAGGAGTTAAAAACACCATGCACTTCTACACAGCAAGAGAAGTTTAAAACGGAACAGGAAGAGACTTAGAAGCTGATGTTTTGCATATCGAGTCTCACTGTTTCCATTATAACTGTAATCAGTAGCTCATGTCTAAATGCACATGCTGATATACTAAAGCCATTTGCATGTTGGTGCCTTTGGTATCAGTGGTACTTTGGTTCATGGATGTGTGCAGATTCAAATGAGCATCTGACTTTGCTGTTAGTTTCCTGATGTGCGTGGAGCCCAAATGTTTGCTATGGCGCACAATGTTTTCATCAGTCACCACAGAAACACGCTGTGGCTCCAAGATGCTCTCACGATGTTCACTTTCACAATGAATGACAATTTCTTGAGAGTATAACATGCGTAGGAACGCCTTATTTCAATAGCTTTGAGGATGACTGATGTTGCTGCTCGCTTCCCATGCAGAAACCCAAGGCTGTTGTTGAGGTTAACAGCTTCGTAAGCTGAGGATACTGTTAAACCTCATTCTGTCAAATAGAAAAGGTGAATCTGACTAAACTTTGGGTGACTCTTCATAAAGGCGGTCTTAAAGGAATAGTTTACTCAAATGACTGTTCTGTCATCATTTACTCACCCTTGTGTTGTTACAAACCTCAACGACTTACATCATTCAGTAGAGCACAAAAAGAGATGTTTCAAAGAATGATCACGCTGCTCTTTAACATTACAATGAAAGTGAATGGGGACTGGGGCTGTCAGCTGCCAAAAAAGCACCAAAAAGCAGTTAATAGGGCCTTTCGCACCGCTTTAGTTCCAGAATTAAATGTACAGTACTAAAGTACTGGGACGATTTTGCGCAAACTATTTCCCAGTACCATTTAAAGGGTTGCATTCGCACCGACAGTGTGTACTAGGAAGTGACGTAAGCCGGTCGACAGCGTCGTCATTTGTGCGCGGCGTTCAACAACAGAAACAAAGAACAACAGCATTAACAACAGGAGGATGGAGGACGCTGTGATCAGAGCTGTGTTTTTGTTGTGTCTCGCGGGTTTCACAATAATGGACATGGAATGTCGACGTATACGTAAAGCGATTGAAAGAACGGAAAGGAGGACTAAGAATCTCCAACGACAACTGACAGTGCTACAAGTGCCTGCACTTCAGCGTCCGTCCATCTATCGCTGTTCTCCATACTTGCGAAATAAGTTGACACAATGTTTACAGTACGTTTACACGGCGTTTTAAATCATGGCGGGTGAGGGCGTTTTCATACACGTTTGGCCAATCAATGTCTACTTACATCACGATTAGTACCAGTTGTGCTGGTTAGACCCTGCTCCGGAGTAGGAGCTAATTTGGTTCTCGAAAAAGGCAGTCCGGTACTAAAATCGCACCCAGTTCCGGCGGTGCGAAAACGCCAAAAAGTGCATAATTAGTTCTGGTACTATGAAAAGGTTCCCACGGTGCGAAAGGCCCTATTGGCAGGTGTGGCAAAAAGTTAGTTTTAGGCCCTGGGTGGCACACATTAAACTTTGGTTTTTGTCATTTCCTCTTCCTGTTCCCCATCATTTCCTGTCTTCTCTCTTTGTCTTGCAGCTATTAAAAAAGGAGCAAAATATAAATAAATAAAACGAAAACAAATAAAAAAGAAAGTTGTAGTATTTGTTAAAAAAAAAATTTTTTTTTATTATTAGTCAAATTGAGAAAAAATAAGAAAGACTTAAGATTCTGTACTATTTCTAGACAAAAGCAAGCATTTAGGTCTCACTTTATACTTTATATTACATACAGTACTTTGCCAACCCAACCTCATGAAAAAAATGCAACTCTTTTACGAGGTGACATTTCATATGATTTCAAACAATATGATTCATAAATGTAAAAAAAAAAGAAAAACTGTAAGCATGAAGGTCCTGCACAAAACCTAACCAAATTCATACGAATTAAGGCCAAAGTATATTTTGGCCATGCGTGTTCCAATACAATGTAATTACAATGTAACAACATGCGTGTACAC